AGCATTTGAGGGTTGCCATTTTTATCTTTATATTGAGTGAATTTGATATGATTTGTAAAAAGATAGTAAGCATTTGAGGGTTGCCATTTTTATCTATATATTGAGTGAATTTTTAAATCTTGGAACAGGAGAAAGATGTTGAATCAATCAAACACCCTCTTTTAGAGGGGTGGTGTTATTGCCACAGCCACTAATGTTAATGCCACAGCTTTTTTTAGTTATTTGACTATTATACCCCTCATTTGAATCCAACTTGCAGCAGTCACAGCAGTCACCACCTTCTCCGCGTGGGTTAATGGTCAAATAACTAAGAAAAGCTGTGGCATTAACATTAGTGGCTGTGGCAATAACACCACCCCTTTTAGAGGGATATGAGAATAGCTTCTGGACATGCAGTGTTTCCAAACTTGGCTAATCTGGTACAACAATTATATCCTGGGTATGCACATTCTTTTTAGGAGAATTTTAAGTATCTTTTGATTCTTTGATATGATGGCCTTGCTTGTTCTTATTGTTTTATTAAATATTAGAAGTTGTCAACAGATAAAGCCGCTTTCAGTCAGATATGGCCTGGGCATATCAGATCAAGATAGTGAAGGTCGTCTGGTGACGGCTGAATTTGATACATTTTATTTGCTAAGTGCCTATGTTCCTAATTCTGGAGATGGCTTGAGAAGGCTGGTATTAGACTTTAAAATCTTCTCTCATATCTCTTGCTACCTTTTTCTTGAAGAGTTCTTTTGTTTCTTCCTTTTGACTTCGTTGCTTTTAACTAGCCATACAGGATTACAGAATGGGATCAATCTCTTGGCAATTGCATGAAGGTAAGCCTGGCATAAATCACTATTCAATTTTCTTTCTTTCTTTTTCCTTATTTTTATTTTTAACTTCACCTCCCTTTTCTTTTTCCTCATGTTTTCTCTAGTATCGAATGTACTTTTTAAGATTCTAAAGAACTTCTGGTATGTATTCTACGGTGAAGGGGTTATCTCCAAAAAAAACAATTGTTTCATGCTTGGCATAATTAACTCTATGACATCAATGAACTAAAGAATATAATATTTTTATACATTGAACGTGGATCCTTAGACTTGAGTTCTGGAATTTGATGGCCATCATCATAATGTGGCATCAAATTGGTTATTTCACAAAGATAGTTTTCAGTCTGATTAACAAGAACAGATTATTTGTTATTTGCAAATTCTATGCATAATTTTTTTTAAAGTTTATTCCTTTCTTTGGCCATTTTTGAAAGTTTACTCATTGGAATAGGAAAAACTTATCAGTGTTCTCTGGCTTTTAACCAGTTACACTTTCTTAGGTCATGAATATGTATGTGCTCTGAATCTGATCTCCCTTAAAGGGTTTTTAAACATATGACCTAGGTGACTAGATGTTTTTCTCAAAATAAAACATTTTCATTGTGCCTTTTGATTGCCAAATCCCAATGCTTAACGTTTTTCTTATGCATGATGCAGGAGCTGGAAAAGTCAAAGCCTGTCATTTTGACAGGCGATCTCAATTGTGCACATGAAGAGATGGACATTTATGACCCTATTGTGAGTGTTTAAAAATTTTTATCTTTTTTTTTTTTTTAAAAGTTGATGTACTGATGATTATATTTGTCTAGTGCTGAACTGACACTGCCGAGTATTTCCAATCTAAATATTATTAAGTATTCTGAAAAGCTTTTATTATGTTAGCCAAAATTCCTATTTCTTCCCATATTTTTATGGCAAAAATATGACATAAGGACCCGAACTTACACCAAATTCGCAATTTCGGACCCAAATTTTGATTGCACTCAATGAAGGTCCTGAACTCCACCAAATTCTCAAATAAGGACCCAATTGGACGGAAAATTAACTTCCGTTAACTCTCCTATTATTCCGTTAATGTTCCGTCACACTTCACACCCGCCACTTGAAAAAAATTGATTAAATTCTAATTTTGGTCCCTCAACTTCATTAAATT